TCTTTTTTTCCTTCCTTCCTTCCTTCCTTCCTTTCCTTCCTTCCTTCACTCCATCCCTTCTTTCTTTCTCTTTCTTCCTTCCTTCCTTCCTTTCTTCCTTCCTTTCTTTTTTCCTTCTTTCCTTCCTTCCCTCCTTTTCTTTCTTTCTTTCTTTCTTTCTTTCTTCTTTCTTTCTTTCTTTCTCCCTCCCTCCCTCCCTCCTTTCTTTCTTTCTTTCTTTCTTTCCTTCCTTCCTTCCTTCCTTCCATCCATCCATCCATCCATCCATCCATCCAAGAAGCTTCTTCAGCAAGCAATATAAATCCTTCCACTCCCCACCATCCAGTCAGAGCTGAAGAAGCTTCTTGGGTGAGAAGCGAAACGTCTTCGAAAGAAAGACAAGAAAGTCCAGTTGTCTCCTGAAAAAAAAAGCACCTCTGGGTTCCACACAAGTTGTGCGCAGAAAACGACTTAAATTTAAGTTACTAGTTAACGACCTTGAATACATGCCCGGCGGTTAGAGTTTCTTTTTGGTCAACACCAGGAGCTTTGAACGGGTCCAACGTCTGCTCAGTGTATGAGAAGCTTCTTACAGCAGTTGACGGACCTACCAGGGGTTGCTTCCCTTTCAGGAGCTGAATTCCGCTCTGGTGGAGCGAGACCGAGCCATCTGCGAAAGGAATGAGCTTCTGGAAAAATATTGCCATGAAGTGAAGGATAAGGCTGAGGCCCAGAAGGAGCTGGACCAGGCATGTAAGGATATTGAGACCGTGAAAGAAGAGAGGGATGTAGCCAGGAAGGAGAGGACGGAAGCCATTATCCAGAGGGACCACCTACTACGAGAATACTACCAAGCACGCCAGGTAACACTGTGACTCTTTTTTTTTTTGAAAGATTGCGGAGTAGGATGCTGTTTTCTTGGAAGTCCTTTTTGTCTTTTTCTTTTTCTTTTAATTTTATAACATTTTATTAGATTATAGAATAAAATACCAAAACACAAAAGCAAATAGTAGGACAAAGTGGGGAGAGAAAGAGAAAAGAAAAGAAAAGAAAAGGCATTTTATTAGATTATAGAATAAAATACCAAAACACAAAAGCAAATAGTAGGACACAGTGGGGAGAGAAAGAGGCATTTTTTTTGTTTTTTTGTTTTATTTCTTATAATGGCCAAATTTGTTGAACTTGCTTGGCAATTTTTCAATTTCTCTTCAATTTTTCACAAAAAAAAGCAACTTCACTTAATCGTTGTACATAAATTACATAAATTAAACAATTGCATAAGAATGAGAGTGAGTTCTTCAGAGGATCACATTGACAACCGAGATTTAATCTGATTGTAGAATACAGGCTCACTAACTGAGGGTGGGGGAAATGAAATCCTTGCCCATAATAATAATAATAAAAATTGCAAATTGTACCTATGTTGAGCGCAAATTATTATTATTATTATTTTTTAAATCTGATGTAAAATGCATTAGCAATCAAAGCGAAGTCTACAGAAGCAACCACAGAATGGACGATAGATTATTGGGGTTCTATTGAAATAAATCCAGAGCTTCCAATATTTTCAAACCATGTTGTCAGAATGTTTTAATTTCTTTTTCTTCTCTTTTCTTTTCTTTTCTTTTCTTTTAAATCTGGCTTGGGTTCTCCCCTCCACAACTCTGAGGCGCCCGCTTTCGTATTATCTGGCGTTGCTTCTGATTCCGTGATCTGCTTTTTCGCAGATACAAGATTCAGCCACGCTGGATGTAGAAAGGGCGAACAAAGAAATAGAAATCCTTCGGAAGCAGTACGAGGCCATGTCGCAGGAGTTAAAAGAAGCGACGCAAGAAGCGGAAGTTGCCAAATGCAGACGGGACTGGGCTTTCCAGGAGCGGGACAAGATCGTTGCCGAACGAGAGAGCATACGGTAAAACGATCCTTTCTAGGAAATTGCACTATCCAGGACTGTACACACAGTCCCCGACTTACAACAACAACAACAGCACTAATAATAATAAAGTTGGAGGTCTTCTAGTCCAACCCCCTGCTCAGTCAGGAAACTCTATACCACGTCAGACAAACGGCTGTCCAGTCTCTTCTTAAAAACGTCCAGTTTTGGCCACAGAGAGTGGGCCGTGACAAGATGGCCACAGAAGACTTGATCATTTTTCAACTCAACGCATTAAAGTCTTTCTGCTTTTTGAATAGGATCAAAGGTGCCATTTGCAGGTCTGCAACAATTGATTAAAGGAATCTGTACCTTAGGGGGAAAAAACCCCAATTGAGCTTGATCAAATGATCACTGGGGATGCTGGGGAGGTCGTAAGTGCGAAAAGCGGTCGTAGGTCCCTTTTTTCCAGTGCTGTTGCAACTTTGAATGGTCACTAAATTATGTACTCCGTGCCCCCAATATATATTGCACGTAACAGAGTGAAAGAGTAGGCAGAGATTTCCCATCTGAAAACTTCCAACGGGTTGACTAATCCTGTTTAGTTTAGCTGAGAAAAAGGTTCTCCACGTAGAACCATCGGTCCTTATATCGTGATAAAGGTTATTTTATTGATTGATCTAGTTGCGCTGGTTGGACTGCCTGTGTTCTGTCCTAGAGAAAAGGGCACGGAGGCCGCGTGGGGACTCTTGTTGTGGCACCTGCAGCAGCCCTCTGACCTTGTGTTTCCATTTCTTTGAAGAACTTTGTGCGATAACCTGAGACGGGAAAGGGACCGCGCCGTGAGCGACTTGGCGGAGGCCCTCCGCAACCTGGACGACATGAGAAAGCAAAAGAACGACGCCGGACGCGAATTGAAGGAACTGAAGTAGGTGATACAAAACTCTTTGCATGCTCTGTGTCAGGTCTTTCTTTCCAGGCACAACCCTTGGGAGGACGGGATATTTATGGCATGAAAGCACAGGTTGTCCTTGAGTTACCAGCACAATTAGCCCAACATTTCTCTTGCTAAAGCAGACAGTTGTTGAATGTGAGTTGTGCCCTGTTTTACAATGTTCCTTGCCACAGTTGTTCAGTGTATCGCTGTAGTGGTTAAGGAGGTTACACAATGGTTAAGTGAACCTGACTTCCCCATTGTCTTTGCTTGTCAGTAGTTGGCCAGCCAGGGTACAAATAGCAATAGCAAAAGCACTTAGACTTATATACCGCTTCGCAGTTCTTTTACAGCCCTCACTAAGCAGCTTACAGAGTCAGCCTCTTGCCCTCGACCATCTGGGTCCTCATTTTACCGACTTCGGAAAGAAGGACGGAAGGCTGAGTCAACATTGAGCCAGTTAGGATCAAACTACTGGCTGTGGCCGGTGTTAGTCTGCAATACTGCATTCTAAGCACTGTGCCACCAAGGAAGGAAGGAAGGAAGGAAGGAAGGAAGGAAGGAAGGAAGGAAGGGGTGGGAGGGAGGGAGGGAGGGAAGGAAGAAAGACAAGAGTGGGAGGGAAAGAAGGGAGGGAGGGAAGGAGGGAGGGAGGGAAGGCAGGCAGGCGAGGATGGGAAGGAAGGGGAGTAAAAGGGAGGAAAGGAGGGAGGGAGGAAGAAAGATGGAGAAGGAAGGAAGGAAGATGGAGAAGGAAGGAAAGAAAAGAAAGAAAAAGAAAGAAAGAAGAAAGAAAGAAAGAAAGAAAGAAAGAAAGAAAGAAAGAAAGAAAGAAAGAAAAGAATAGATCTGTCTATCGGACTAACTTTGAATCAGAAGACAAATAAACTGTGATGCTCCAGTCTGGATAGGTTGGGAGAGATTCATTCTTGGCCCACTTAGCAGATTTCATTCAAGGTAGCATCTTTGCATCCCCTGCCTATTAAGCAGTGATCAGGTTTACCTGAAATCAGAACCCAAGCCTTGAAATTGCGCCTGTAAAGGTGAGAGAGAATAAGCGGTCCCTCCGTCCCGATTGTGATGTTCGATTTTCCACAGAGAGAAGATGGAGAATCAGCTGGAGAAAGAGGCACGGTTTCGGCAGCTGATGGCTCACAGTTCCCACGATTCCGCCATTGACACAGATTCAATGGAGTGGGAAACGGAAGTAGTAGAGTTCGAGAAAGACAGGGTAAGTGAAAGACCCTGCTCCCAGGTCAGCAATAAGAGCTCCGTGGCTGGAAAGTTCCCAGCAAACAGAGAGAGGAGGTAAAGCAATACCTCGCGTGTGCTCGCGTGTCCTTAGTAAGAAATTACTACAGGCGAATGTGTGTATCTTTTAGGAAGACATGGATTTGAAGGCTCTCGGTTTCGATGTGGCCGAAGGAGTGAACGAACCTTATCTTCCTGGAGACTGCGGGATATTTGTCACCAAAGTCGACAAAGGAAGCATTGCAGACGGCCGATTGAGGTATCCTGGGGGTAGTTTGGCCAAACACTTGAGTTGAATTGAATCGAACAGCTAAATGTCTATGGCAGGGGTAGGCAACCTTGGCTCTTTTATGACTTGTGGACTTCAACTCCCAGAATTCCTGAGCCATAGCTGGCTCAGGAATTCTTGGAGTTGAAGTCCACAAGTCATAAAAGACCCAAGGTTGCCTACCCCTGGTCTATGGAGATTCTCGGTCATGTTCCTGGTTGACCCAAAGATGCTTTTTCAGGGGGCAACTGGACTTTCTTGTTTTTCTTTGAAGACCTTTCACTTCTCATCCAAGAAGCTTCTTCAGCTCTGTGCTGTTAACAGAATCGGGTAGTCCTGCTAGAAATCAATCAATCAATTAAATTCTAATTAATGTCTAATTTCTAATTAATCAGGGTGAACGACTGGCTCCTGAAGATAAACGACGTGGATCTTACCAACAAGGACAAAAAACAAGTCATAAAAGCAGTCCTCAACGGCGGAGGAGTTATCAATATGGTGGTCCGGCGAAGGAAGTCCTTGGGAGGGAAGATTGTAACCCCGCTACACATCAGCCTTTCGGGCCACAAAGGTGAGGTCCTCGTGGCGCCTCAGAGTCAGGTTGGCAAATATGCGGGGATCCAGCCAGTATTTCCACTGCATTCTTCATGTCATGGGTTCGCTCAGCAAGTGAATAAGTAGATTCCCTGGTCTGCGTTCCTGGATTTGCTGTCGAAGCGAATACGTACATTGATAGGCTTCCCTCGTCTGTGTTCCTATAAGATTGGAATCCTGTTATGGAAGATGTTTTCTATTTGGTATTAATGATTCTAAAACGTCCAATTTAATTTCTTTTTGCAACGGCCGTGGTTGCATCGCTATGTCCAGTAGCTCTTAGGATACCGACTTTCCTAAATTAGAAGTCTCCCGTAAGTCAACCTCAGTTCTTTCATGTACGTCACCATATACCAGTGGTGGCGTCATGTACGTCACCATATACCAGTGGTGGCGAACCTATGGCACAGGTGCCAGAGGCGGCACTCAGAGCCCTCTCTGTGGGCACGCGCACTGTTGCCCCAGTCCTAGGCCTTCAGCTGGGTTTTATAAAACCTTTTCGCGTTAGGCCTCCCCTGCCGTGTGCAAAAAAAAAAAAAAGGTTCAATCAGTCAATTTCAAGTTCTTGCGGGAAAAAAAAATCTTGCAAAGTTGGAATTGATTGATTGAACTTTTTAGTCCCACCCAGTCTGCCATTACCACCGCAGCCACGCCCACCCAATGGGCCGCACCCACCCAATGGGCCGCACCCACCCGGCACCCGACGATGCATAAGTGGGTTGTCAAGTCTGCTAACATTGGATATTCATTGGTTTTGGGTTGCAGTTTGGGTACTCAGTCTCTAAAAGGTTTGCCATCACTGCCATATACAGTCTTTTTCTTGGCAGTAATAGGTCATCATTTTGGATGACTTTTTTTTTTTAAAAAAAACTTCCCAATGTAGCCTGATCCCTGACATTTCTGGGAGTTTTTCCATCCAAAATCCCGACCAAACCAGGCTTTGCTTAGTTTCCAAAGTCACCAAGCTGGTGCCGGATGCCGAGAACTCAGAACAAAATCGAGTGCTAAAAATTGACCTTGGCTTTGGTCTTCTCCATTTCAGATAGCGGAATTGGTTTAGAAAATGGCGTCTTTGTGGCCACCATCACGACGGGCAGTCCAGCGGCCAAGGATGGGTCCCTCACTGTGGGAGACAGGATCATTGCGGTAAATTATTTTCCAGTCTGCTTTTAGTCCATAGAGGAGATTTACCATAGAAATTCAAATCAGATGAGATGGGAAGCTGGAAGCAGAGATATTTCTTGTCAAGTTACATGCTAACTATAAGTGGTTGGTAGGCAACCATCATAAAACGTGATCACTGGAGACTGCAAACAGCTGTAAATGTGCCCAGATTGCCACAGGGCCACGGAAGGGGCCTAACCCATCAAAATTTCTGATTCAGGTGGTAAGTCCTACTTTTCGGGTCAGTCGTAAATTTCTAATGATCGCTAAATGACTGGTTGTAAATCAACTGGCAGGTACTTAGGACAGTTGCAGTGTCCCTTTTGCCACCTTTAGACAATGGGGAAAGCCGGATTCTTGACTGTTGCATGCTTGATACGTCTCCATTTTCCTGCAGATAAATGGAATTGCACTAGATAATAAATCACTGACGGAATGCGAAGCTTTGCTGCGAAATTGCCGGGAGTCTCTTACGCTTTCGTTGATGAAGGTGAGCGGGAACAAAGAGGGCGTAGTCTTTTGTCGGTGAATAATATTTATTTAACAGGAGAAGATTGTATCAACCACCTTTGCAGTTGTCTTCTTCTTCTGATATTTCGCCATGCACCATCCCCCTTTCTTCCTGTGAAGAAGATCATGAGATACCAGAAGATTAAGCAAAATCGACTCGTACGTCACGTTGTAGCATCTTTTCGGGTGGAGAAACCAGCCTGTCCTGGTTGAACAACCCGTTAAAGTAGAGTTCCTCAACCTTTCTGGTTTGCTGGCCTGGTGGGAAAGGGAGGAGCAGGGGCTTTTACACACGCATGTGCACATGTGAACGGGGATGCTGCCTGGCCCTCATCTTCTAAGTACTTGATAGGCTGGGGGTAAATCAGCATTCTTGTTGACTGATCAGGGGCCCGATTCCCAGGCTTCAATCACTTCCCTGGCTGTTTTTGTCCCTGCTCGTCCAACAATCTGAATAGCTGCAAAATTGAATATTGGAGTCCAAAAGCTTGGCAGACAAAACCGACCCAGATTGGATCCTGCAGCTTACTTAATTGTCATGTCTTTCTCCTTGCATCTGTTATTTGCAGGATGCTCCCTTCACTTCAGGGAACAAGTGAGAGTATGTCATTTCCAAGATGACAAAGGAGTCTTAAGTTACCGATAGCTTTCATTAGGCCTGTCCTACTGAATTTATCCAATCCTCTAAACTAGCCATCGAAATTTTGGCCATTCATAGATCTTAGGGTAGTGAATTCCACTTCTCTGTGTTTGTTTTAGATGTATGCACTCTATGGGATTTTACAAGGTTTAGCCCAGCGGTTCTCAACCTATGGGTCGCGACCCCATTTGGGGTCGATCGACCATTTCACGGGGGTCGCCAAGCAAGGCTGTCTGCCATTTTTTTTGTCTGCCATTTTTTCCCCTTTTCCGGTGGGTGCCTTACCTCCCTTGGGCTGGGCCAGCTGGTGGTCGGCCTGCTCCGTCTCTGCCGCTTGCCAGCTACGCCTCGGCCGGTGCAGGGGGCGGAACCACGCATGCGTGGCGCTCCCGGGTAGGGAAAGTCCTCGACTTACGACCGGTTGGGTAGTCCTCGACTTACGACCGGTTTAGTCCTCGACTTACGACCAGTTGGGGGTCGCGGCATTAAAAAGGTTGAGAACCACTGGTTTAGCCCAACACTTTTAGAAGGCTTAGGGGGAGGAAACTATGTTAGAGTTTTTTCCCCATCCCATAATTAGTTAAAAAAACCAATAATATAAATTACAGAATAACTTCCCAAAGAAATCAATGTATTTTACATGATTTTTAGAATTCAGCTTTTCTTCTAACAGTATAAGGGTACAAAATATTAATGTATTTCAGTGCAGCCTAGCACTAAACATTGGTAGATTAATATATAAGTTTGGGACCGCTCTATCGCACAGCTGCATCTGTAAATTCTGCAACCAGCTGGTGTTGTTTCTCCTCCTTCTAGGTTTATCCTCAGAGCTCGTGTTCCTCTTGGAGTGGCCAAAACATATTTGAAAACCTTAAGGATCCGGAGAAGATCTCCAACGGCAGGACTCACCCGTCAGACGTACAGGTTCAAAATAAAAGGAACTTAAAACACAACAGTTCAACCCAGACCGATATTTTCAGCCCGGACATAATGGATGTCAAGAAGGATCAGAGCGATCAAGAGAACGGCTTGTACTGCAGTCTGAAAACGTTTTCCAGTAGCGTTTTACATACTGACTCCCACCGGAACACGGTCCACGAGTGCCACAGTAATTCGGAACACAGCCTCGGATCCTTCGGTCCCGATGGGTACGGGGACCCAAGTTACGGGATAGTGAACCTGGATAACCAGAGGCTCTCCTTTGAACCCACAGTCGCAGACTGCCTTGTGCTTGAGAGCGCCTTAGACAAAGGACCGGGCGGGAAACACAGCGGTGGCACCTGGCCCAAAGTGCTGGTCAACTTAGGTCCGGCCGAAACGGAAAAATTCTCCGTGTACAAAAAGCCCAAACAAAGGAAATCCATCTTTGACCCGGACACTTTCAAAAGACCCTTGACGCCTCCCAAGATGGATTATCTGTCTCCCAATCCGATGTTGGGACCGTCAGCCCAGCCTTCCAAAGCAGAAGCCGTCTCCACTCCGCCCACACCTCCAACTAGAAGCGATTCTATTAAATTTAAACACAAACAGCAGGCCAGCTCTACCTCGGAGCCTACGGTGACGACGGGATCCCCCCCTCCTAGTCCAGCGACAGTCCAGCCCCCGCTTTCCATTGAACAGAAGCCCGACTCCTGTGTTCTCAAGGGGCGAGGGAGACCCTCAGGACAATACTACAGGGAGGAGGCAGGAGACCCTGGACACTTGCCTTCAAGAAAACCCTGTGAAGAGGACCTTGGCTTTCAAAGAGCGGAAGAGCCTGAAATTAAAAGACCGAGGCCCAAATCTGCTCCCGCCTTCAGGCATAAACTAAACCCCGTGCCCATCCCTAATCCATCTCGGCAGGTAGATATGGGATCTTGGAAAAAAGGATGCTGGCTAGTCCTTTCCCCAGTGAATTCAGAGCTTAAATTATCTTTCCGACGTCAAAGGGGGTCGCATTGCAGAAAGGTTGACTTGTTGTTCAAGGTGTGCCAGGATGCTTCTTGAACAGGGTCTAGGACAATGTGTCGTGGCCAACTCACCGCAGCTAAGTTGACAACGGCCAACTCCCTGTGGCCAACTCGCTGCTGTGGGGCAACTCACCACAGGACAAGAGTTACAGCAGTACCAAAGAACTGGTGGAATAGGATTGTTAAATAAAAGAAGGCAAAGGAGGGACAAAAGGAAGTGTGAAAGACAAAACTTTGACAAAATTAATTTTTTAAATTATTTTAAAGAATTAAATTGAATTGTTGAATTGTCCCACAGCAAGTTGGCCACAGGTGAGTTGTCCCACGTGTAAGTTGGCCAAGACAAGTTGGCCACAGAGAGTGTATGTTTTAATCTCCAGGCCTTTGATCATCTTAGATGCTCTTCTCTGAATTTTTTTCAAACTCTTCAACGTCTTTTTTGTGATATGGTGACCAAAATTGGCTGCAGTATTCCAGGTGTGGCCTCACTAGGGCTTTATAAAACGGTACTAATACTTTGCGTGATCTTGATTCTACGCCCCTGTTTACACAACCCAGGATTGTATTAGCTTTTTTGGTGGTGGCTGGCTCCTAAGAGGCAGAACATTTGACAATTTTCATGCCAGGTCTGATTATAGGCACTTTTTTTTGTTCTATTTCCCTCAATTAAGCCAGGAAATGTACTGTAGAAAACCAGCCCAAAATTCCACTAAAAGGGGAGGGGAAGTGTGATCAAGCTGTAACAAAAGGGATACGTAAACATTTTTGTGTCACATCATACTAGTTGTATGCGAGTAGAAATTGTAGAAATGTATGTTGAGTATTATATCTAACCTGGAATGTTTGTTCTGAGAGTAGATCAAAGAGCCTGTTGGGAGGTCATTTTGTTGGGAAAGATGTCCTAATTTGCTGTGAAACGCAACACACCTGTATAAATAGAGATTTTTTTGGCAGTGGCTCTAATAATGGTGCCTTTGGGCTTCTGTTGGAAATATGACCCATAACACAGGAAGATGCTTTGGATTTTCTTGCCCAGGTACAGAAATACATTCCAGCGAGTGAAGAGTTCCTGTCTCCAGAGACACAAGAATGGCCGACATATTCACCCAAACGGGCGAGTCGTCACAGCGATGGTTTCGTGTCGGCCTGTTTATACTCCGGAAGCTTGTCAGGAGGTTCGTACCAATGATTTGCATGATCAGTTCAGATTTTCTTCTGTTGCATGATATCTGCCCAACTGCAGATACTCCTTGACTTAACAACAGTTTGTAACCAAAGTTACAACGGAACTGGGGGAAAAAAATGTCTTACGGCCGTTTTTCACCCTTACGACCGTTGCAGCATCCCCTATGGCAGTGATGGCGAACCTTTTAGAGACCGAGTGCCCAAAAACTGGCCCCGCCCCTGTCCCACCCCCTGCCCTGCCCTGCCCCACTCTACCCCCTGCCCTGCCCCCACTCCGCCCCACCCTGCCTGCCCGCAGGGCCACTCACCACCTCCAGGGCCTGCCGCAGATCACCCAGGCAGCCCAGCAGCGCCATGGCAGCCATGCCCTCTGTCCACACCCCGCAGCATCAACTGTGCATGATGGGGTGTGAGGACAGAGTCTTGTCTATGCTGCCTGGCTGCCATGTCCTTGGCTGCGCTGCTCCGCGTGGGCCAAGCTCGGGGGCGACTCTCCTCCAGGGGGTTTCTGGTGAGGAGGGGATCACGGGGGGAGGCAAGGCTGGGGCAACGGCACGTGCGCCCACAGAGAGGGCTCTGAGTGCCGCCTCTGGCACCCGTGCCATAGGTTCGCCACCACTGCCCTATGGCAGGGTTCTTCAAACTTGGCCCTTTGATGACTTGTGGACTTCAACTCCCAGAATTCCTCAGCCAGCATGTCAACTGGCAGAGCCAGGTCCTTATGAAAAGATAGGAGGGTTAGGGCCAACCTCACATTGGGGAAGGGGGCAAGGTGTTCCAGAGGGCAGGAGCCACAGCAGAGAAGCCTCCCCCCTCCTGGACCCCACCAGCCGGAATAATCAGGCTGACGGGACCTGCAGCACGCCTCCTCTGCTGGCATCAGTGGGACGAGGCCAATCCCAGTGGGGTGAGACGGTCCCTCAGGCAACTTGGACCCATGCCATGAAGGGCTTACAAGGTGATCAGCAACACCTTGAATTGCACAGGAAGTTGAAGGCTGCCTGTATCTTTGGGGCCTTTTTTCTGCACCAATCAGTTGTCTATTATGGCTGAGCTACCCTACTGCAGAGGTTACTCTATATAACTTCTCTTTGCTCTATAGGTACCGTCCCAAGAAACATTGCGCCGTGTTCTGCTGTGACAGCAGTGATGAGAAATCCCATTTACACAGCCTGGAGCCATAGAATTGCCACCACCAACTGCTCATCTGCAACCAATCAATACTGCCACCAACACCTGCATCCCAGGTGACTTAGATAAGGAGAATCGTGAACGAAAGTCAAATGACTTGGGTTGTAGCATTCTTCTTCTAATTATGGTCAGGCAGAAGGTTCAGAGAAGCCTTCAAAGAGGCATCAGGTGTGCTGTTCTGCCCCCCCAGACATAACTGTGGTTCAGTGGGTTTATTAATATTCCCTCACAATTCCCTTCACCAAAACCCCAGAACTGTCCCAATTAAATCCAGCCCAAAGCAGACCGATGCTAGTCCAGAGAGCGATGGCCAGTGAGTCCACAAGGCACTTGAAAGTTTCCCAAACAAGATAAACCCACCAGGCAAAATTAAATCCACAATACAGAGTTTACAAGGCTTGATCCAAGTCAAGGCACGGTGTCAATCCAAAGCAAGGCAAGAATCACAACGACCAGGAAACACACGGCCAGGAAATGAACATGTTGTTCCCAGCATCACCTCCCTCTGTCTGCTGTGCTAAATAGCCAGCTTCTGGTGCAGCCCATCAAGATGGGCGAGGCTTTCTCCTCTTGAGGAATCAGGCTGACCTCCTCTGCTCCTGCCTTTTCTCTGCCCTACATGTTCTCAGATCAGGTGCAGAAGGCAGTTCCTCTTCCTCATCACTGACCGGCTGCAGCTGCCTGCTTTCCCCACCTGAAGCCTCAGGGCTGTCCTGCTGCAGCTGTACTTCAGCCAAATCCTGTTTGGCCGTTGGATGCATGTGACCGAATATCCCATTTTTTTTTGTCTTGCAGTGCTCAGCACCAGGGACATCTGAGTTTGGATCTGAGTCACAAGCACTCCAGTGAGTGCTCCGAAAATACGCGCTCAAGATCGTCCCATGGTTCAAATTCATTGCCTTCTAGCGCAAGACTGGGTAAGATGTCTGAAAGAAGACATGGTCTGCTTTGTTTTTGTAGTCGTAAGTGTATCGTGGATGTGGGTTTCCCTTCGCAGAGGGACATTGTTGGACAGGAGAGCTCTTGAAATGTTCTAGAGAAGATGTTTTGCGAGCTGGTGAGGCCACCATCCTCCCACCCTCTATCCTTTCAAAAACCTCAATAAAAATCCTTTTTTAACACCCTGTAATCCCTTAATTCGGAGTAGAGTCTGGGTGACTGGATGGAGCCAAGAGTTTACTGACCAGATGCCCTTCCTGAAGCCTACACAGAGTTCACAGCAAATATTTTTTTTCTTTGCACCCTAAGAGAAATATCTGCCACTACCTAATTGAACTCTCAACTTTCTGAGTGGGAGGCAACCATCTTTACCACTAGGACACCACACCCCTCTCTCACAAGCCTCAGTATGACCCACAAATGTTATGTATTGATTTGATCGATTGGCGTTAAAATCCAATTTATTTCATTGATCAGCATTGTACCTATAGACTGTTTAGCACTATATCTTTGAGATAATACACTGGCATCAGCGTACTGATGTACAGTTCATTGGCCTGTGTGTTTATGCGTAGTTAACATGCAGACCTAGCTAGGTGTTATGCTTTGCTGCACACACAACATGTAGGAACAAAGATTCTATTTTCCATTGCAAAACAGGGAGATTTCTAGATGAGAAACTTTTAAAAAGTGATAGAAGAGTTGTCTATAAGAGGCTTCCGACCAGCCTTTGAGTCCATCAGTAACGACAAAATATAATATTTTGTCCATTCTTGACTGTGCAACAAAGGCCATTTAAAGTTGATGACGAGGGGGGTCAAACTATTCTCCAAAGCGCCTGAAGGCAGGACAAGAAGCAACGGATGGAAACTAACCAAGGAGAGAAGCAACCTAGAACTAAGGAGAAACTTCCTGACAGTGAGAACAATTAACCAGTGGAACAACCTGCCTCCAGAAGCGGTGAATGCTCCAACACTGGAAGTCTTTAAGAAGAGACTGGACACCCCATTTGTCTGGAATGGTATAGGCTTTCCTGCCTGAGCAGGGGGTTGCACTAGATGACCTCCAAGATCCCTTCCAACTTTATTATTATTATTATTATTTTTGGAGAGAGGGGCTTCAGAGAGAGGGCGAGAGGTTGCCCTCTACTCCTAAATCCATGTATTTATTTATTTAAAAAAAAGATGCTCCCCCATCCTGCACTTGATTGAAGTAACTCTACGTTTAAATCTGTGGAGCTATCTTCCTAAACTCAAGTTTGTCCAAATCCAATGAGAATTCTTACCAAGTAAAATGTACTTCAAAGAGTCTCGTTACCAGCCTGGCTGATTTCTTGGAATTTAAATGAATTTATTTCTTTTTTTTCCCCTCCTCCTTAAGTCTATCTTTTTTTTCCCCCTCTCATTTTCCACCCCCAAATAGGCTCCTCCAGCAATTTACAGTATAGAACAGAACGAATAAAGATACCTTTGACACCACGGTACCCAAGGTCCATCATTGGTTCTGACAGAGGTAAGTAATGTCCATACTTTTCTTCTTTTCCAGCCCTCAAAGGGTAACCACCTCCAATGTACACTGCAGAAGCGTGGCAAAAAATAAACAAGTAAAATAAATTGTGCATATACCCACAGACACACACATAACGTGGCCCAGAGAAACAACACAGTCTAGTTCGGATGTATACATATACACGGAGAGAAAAACAAACCTTGCGAGTTTAACACCAGATGTTTTTCTCGCCATGTATGTGTATACATCCGTACTGTGGTAAGGCCACACTTGGAATACAGCATCCAGTTTTGGTCACCACGATGTAAAAAAGACATTGAGACTCTGGAAAGAGTGCAGAGAAGAGCAACAAAGATGATTAGGGGACTGGAGGCTAAAACATATAAGGAACGGTTGCTGGAATTGGTTATGTCTGGTTTAACGAAGAGAAGGACGAGAGGGGACATGATAGCAGCGTTCCAGTATCTCAGGGGCTGCCCCAAAGAAGAGGGAGTCAAGCTATTCTCCAAAGCACTGGAAGGCAAGACAAGAAGCAATGAATGGAAACTAATCAAGGAGAGAAGCAACCTACAAATGAGACATTTCCTGACAGTGAGAACAATTAACCAGTGGAACAACCTGCCTCCAGAAGCAGTGAATGCTGCAACACTGGATGTTTTTAAGAAGAGACTGGACAGCCATTTGTCTGAAATGATACAGAGTTTCCTGCCTGAGCAGGGGGTTGGACTATATGACCACCTCCTCCTCCTCATCATGATGATGATGATGATGATGATGATGATGATGATGATGTGTTGTTTCCCTGGGCCACATATGTGTGCATGATTTGTTGAGAGATAGAGATGCTTTCGATGGAAACCCAGTCCAAAATGCTTGGAGATAACCCCGCAGGGAATGTGTGAGCTCCTTGTTGTGTTCATGAAATGAAAGTTTGTACTAGATCAACATGGATATTTGTCTGTTGTTTATTGCAGGTTCTTTGTCTCATTCTGAATGTAGCAGCCCCAGCTTGGTAACCCCACCCCAGTCGCCGCTTAACTTGGAGACCTCATCTTTTGCCAGTAGCCAATCACAAAATTCTCTTTCCACCTTGCCCAGGATTTCAGTGAGCCCGGTCTCTATGGGGCAACGTCGAAAAGACAAGTAAGTTGTAGTTGTGGTTATGCCAATGCTTTCCCCCTCCGAGGGAAAGAACGTGGCTTGATCAAGCTCCGTTCCTGATGGCCTCAAATCCATGCAAGTTTCTGGACAACAATGTGGAAATGGCCTTCCGTTGCCTTCTTTGGGGAAGTTTCTTCTGGCCAGAAAGTTTTGGGAACTCTGTCCTATAGTACTGGGTTTACTCTCAATTATAGTTGTCCCATCTGCTTATTGTTTCTTGTCTCTACTTCATGCCATTTCCATAGTTTCATGGTTGCCTTCTTTGATCTGTGTCGCATTCTCCTCCTGTGCTTAGTCTGCCCTGGTTTATCAACAGCCAGAGTATTGCTGTCCTGGTTAGTATCGTGGTTTTGTGGCTTTGGCTGCATTTTTGGCCAGGACACCAAACAAGGGATGTGTAGATGACTGTGAATACGGCGTCTCCTTTCTTAGCAACAGACTGTTAAGGAAGGCACAGCGATCCGTTGTGTGTTACTTAGCAAGAACGACTCTTTTCAATAGCAGAGCAGTAAACTAAAGCAGGAGCCCCCAATCCCCGGGCCGTGGCCTGTTTGGAACCGGGCCATTCAAAGTTACAATGGCACTGAAAAACGTGACTTACGAACATTTCTCACCCTTACGACCGTCGCAGCATCCCCAGGGTCACGTGATCCAAATTCAGACGCTTGGCAACTGGCTCATATTTATGACCGCCCCGGGATCACGTGATTTTCCCTTTTGCGACCTTGTGACAAGCAAAGTCGATGGGGGAAACCCGGATTCACTTAACGTGTGTTCCTAACGCAAGGGACTGCAGTGCTTCACTTAACAACGGTGTCAAGCGAGGTCCTAAAATGGGGCAAAACTCACTTAAGAAAGGTCTCGCTTAGCAACATAAATGTGGGGCCCAGTTGAACCAGGATTCAGTGGCTATAGACCAGCACTAAGGGCATCATTTCCATACGTCAATGTGTAGTATAGCTTTGACTACTACATCTTTCTCTAAGGCTCTTTTTTCTTTTTCTTCCTTCCTTTCTTCATCCCTCTTCACCTTTCAGATATTTGTTCCGTAATAGGTCTTTTCTGAGAATTCCTGTGGCTCCTACGCCAAGGTTCTGTTCCCTCAGGAGTTTGAGGTTGGCTTGATATACAGGTTGTCCTTGAGCAGTTATTCGTGTGCTATTTACATGTTTGGATAAACCCTCCCCAAGGGGGGGAAAAATACTGCATGGGTAATTGCGTTGCTACCATGCGAGACGCCATCGTGAATTAACGGCTTGAGTTTGCTTTAGAGCTGCTTAATTTCCATCGACTAACCTTGCATTTTACTTGCGTAGAAGCACAAAACGGTCAGAGTTCAGCTTTCCCTCCTTCATCTTGTGATTCACCCCCATGAGCTAGAACTATATTTCTATATTTCTATAGAAATGCACTCTAAAGCAGGGGTCCCCAACCCCTGACCCGCAGCCCACTAACCGAGCTGCGGTCTATTTTTAACCGGGCCCTACAAGAGGAGAGCCGGCACACATGTGCATACGCAACTCAACTCGCGCGAGCAGCAGGCCGGCACGCATACGCACACGTACGCACAGGCAACTTGACTTGCAGTTGAGTTGTGTGTGTGCGTGCGCGTCGGCCTGCCGCTTGCACAGCCCAGTTCCCCTCTCCCTGCCTCCAGCCGGGTCGCCAAGCCACAAAGGTTGGGGATCACTGCTCTAAAGGGTCCAAAAATGGCTATAAATTGATGTCAGGCTTTTCTTTTTTCCTTCCTAGAATGCATTCCGAAATTGCCTATTATATATGCTTATTAACCTATATATATATATATAATATGAGCAAAGATACGTTTTATTTCCGGAGTTTTCCACCGTAATTCAATTTATAATTTAGTTTGCCATTCCATGCCCTTTAAGTTAGCACCGACTGCATCGAAGCTGTTCCGTGGAAGAACCATCTGACCCCCGGCTTTTGTCCCTCGCATGCGGAAAGGAATGTTGCCGTTTTTAAGTCGACATTTTAAAGTGGCCGCTGTTCCACTTTTTGAAAGGGGCAGTGGGCACGGTGCATGCCCTCCGTGCAATTATTATTATTATTATTTTCCCCTCTCTTCCTACGCTCGCTCAAGAGGTGTTCCTGTGCTCTCTTTTTTTCTCTCCCGAAGACTCTACATGGAAGAACCCCGTCATGTCAAAGTGCAAAAGGGCGTCGAACCTCTGGGGATCTCCATTGTCTGCGGGGAAAATGGTGGGATTTTCGTGTCGAAAGTAACCGGTGGCAGCATCGCCCATCAGGCCGGGCTTGAATATGGCGATCAGTTGTTAGAGGTAAAGCTTTTCCGTAGAGGTGGGCAATGAGTTGATCACGACAATGCTGCTTTTCAGTTGACTGGGTAGTACGGATTCTCCTCCTCTTACGACAGTTCATTTAGTGTCCATTCAAAGTTGCGACGGCACTGAGAAAAATGACCTAGGCCCGTTTTCCACGCAGCATCTCCCACAGTCAGGGGATCAAAATTCAGCTGCTTGGCAACTGGCATGTACTTATGACAGTTGCAGTGTCTCGTGTGATCCTCTTTGTGACCTCCTGACAAGCAAAGCCAATGGGGAAGCCGCATTCACTTAACAACCGGGTTACTAACTAATCATCTGAACAACGGTAGCAGGAAAAGTCGTAAAATGGGGCAAAACTCACTTAACAAACATCTCGGTTAACGACCCGATTGTCGTAAGTCGTAAGTCAAGGGCTACCTTGATAAAAAGCTGTTCAGATGCCTTCAAATACTCGGATTTATTGGCATTTTAACTAGTTTTTGTTGACATGCTCTAATGCAGAGGTCCTCAACCTTTTGGGCACCAGGGACTGGTTCTGTGGAGAGCGGTTTTCCCACGGACCGGAGGGGGTGTGGTTTCATGTGCTGCCTGCATCCCACGGATGGGGCTTTGCTTGTTTGTGTGGACCGGTTGCTGGCATGCCGCGGCCCGGTACCGGTCCACAGACCAGGGGTTGGGGACCCCTGTTCGACTGCATACCCTTGTTTCTAAGGATGGCTGGTTTAGCAGGCTGTTGGTAAACAGGGATGAATCCAAACACATCTCCCTTGTCCTTTATGCGTGTCTCCCTTGTGGGTTCACACATGTCCATGTTTTTTGCAGTGTGGTTACATTCCTATTTATTATTATTTTTTCCAAGAAAAACACTAGCATTCTCTTTATTTCCCAGAATGCTTCGGGCTTTGTAGAGAATAAAAATGGCAAAAGAGTTTTGTTTGGAAGTGGGCTTATCTGCCCAAATGTAACTCAAAAGAAAATTAAGGGATCTCATCACAGAGAGGTGGTGGAGCTGGTTATTTTTACTAATGTCCTTTCAGGAATTTTCTTTCCCTCCCTGGCTAATGCCTTCATCCTGACAACCATTATGTAGGCGCAGGCAGTCCTTGACTTAACAAGGTTCAGTGACCGAAGTTGCAACAACATTCAAAAAAGCAACTGATGACCATTTTTCACACTTACAACCATTGCAGCATCTTCATGCTTATGTGATCAAAATTCAGATGCTGGGCCACTGGCTTGTACTTACGACAGTTTTACTGTCCCAGGGTCATGTGATCACCATTTGTAACCTGCCCAGCCGGCTTCTGACAGGCAAAACCAATGGGGCAAAGCCAGCTTCACTTAACAACCGGGTTACTAACTTATTAACTGCAGCGATCCACTTAGCAAGAAAGGGCGTAAAATGGAACCAAATTGGGCTCAATTCTGCTCGTAAATCGAGAGAACTACCTATGTAGGCATGGCATTTCCCTCAAAACTCAAAAGGCTTCTTTCTCCCAAAGGGGTCATTAAGTACTACAAAACCAAGCTCTGAGCTTGCACGCATGCACTCACAACTTAATGCAAGAGAAGCAATCAGTTGGAAAAAAATCTTAGTGCAACATATTCCGTCAGTTGGGGAAGTCAAATTTCAGGCAAGCAAGGTTAGCAGCGTTCAACGCAGAAGTCTTTTGTGAGTGAATCTGTGTGTGGTTCCTGTCTTCCCTTCAGTTTAATGGAATCAACTTGCGAAACGCTACGGAACAACAAGCTCGGCTGATCATTGGGCAGCAGTGCGACACCATAACTATTTTGGCACAGTACAATCCCCACATGTTCCAGCTGGGCAATCATTCACGATCAAGGTAAGCTTAGACCTTCTCGGTATCCTGCGAAGATCTTTTTTCTCCAGGGGTAGGTTTGAACCAGAGACCCAGATTCTGTGTTACCGTGAAGCACCAGTTGATTGATTGGCAGATTATAGCAGATTTCCTTAATCTTTTTGGCTTTTCGGCCTGGCCAGGGGGGTGGGGGGAAGAGGGTATGGTTCCCTGTGAGCCCCACCACTCACACAAAAGAAGTGCACGCTGTTCTGTCCCCGTTCCGACCCACACACCCAAACAGCCAGCC